AGACTGTATTTTCCTTTCTCTAGGATGAGCTAAAATTACTTGGAAAGCAAGGGACCACATTGCTGTCATGTATTCAAGGACAAGCAACCAAAAGTCCCACCAGCAAACTCAGTCTCAATGAAGCTGAGAATGTAGCTACCATGGAAAGGTGAGTGAGAGGGGTGGAATCTGCTTTTTCAGGAGAGAATACATAGAACCAGATGATCTGAAACAACCAAGAACAGATTGGAACAGCTGCTTATGGGTCTTGATGGGGTCACGAAAGAAGAATATTTGAGACAACGAAGGAAAAACCATGGTATCCTTCTGGCATCCATCTACAGAGATCTTTTTATGAGAATGCCATTCCCTCTTCCTATGGTCTGCTTTCATCCCAGGATATCAAGGAAGATGGTAGTATTTACTGAGCTTCATTGCCAAATAACAGTTTGGTTGGGTGCTGTGCTTTGCACACCTGTCTTCTTAGGTGGAAAGAAATAGAGAGAAAGGTAAGGTTACCCGGGGTACATTTTAAAGCGTAGCAGCTGCATCTGAAGTGAAGTTTCTGCCTAGTCCTGAGGGTGTCCTGATGAAAAAATGGGAAATGTGGAAACAAGCTGAACTAGGAGAAAGTCATAGGCGACACAGACTTCATAATAAGGAGATTATCACAATTAGTAACACTGACTAAAAACACGGGTGTTATCTCCATGAGCCTGTGGAAATGAATGCTGACTGCATGTCCTTTCTTGTTCTTTCTTGACAGGTTATTAGTTCAGTTGAATGAAACAGAAAAAGCCTTTAGTCAGTTCTGGTCTGCGCATCACCTGAAGCTTAATCAATGCCTACAACTGCGGCACTTTGAACACAATTTTTGTGAGGTATTATTTTCTTGTTTAATAAAACTTCCATTATGTTTCAGTGACTTCTGGTTCTCTCTTCGCCCTTGAACTCTGGGCATCGGGCTTCCCTCCCCTCCCCAATCCAGTCCCCTCCTTATATCTTTGATTCCTCTTCTCACCTTTTCAGTGGGTTAGCAATGTACTAGAATCCCATTTTCCTGTCGGCATACATGGTATTTCAGTGATGGTTTACCTTCCTTTTTGATTCAGTGAAGCTTTAATATTCCATCCACATGTGTCTCAGCACCCTCAGCTTAATCTGAAAGCTGATGAGCTGTAGAAAAAAAACAATCTATATAGATACACATATGTCCTGAATCCTTTTTGGATTTTCAAGTTGTCTAGAGTATAACAAACCTATACCTCCACATGGGTGTCCATTGGCTTATGTCTGGGCTTTTCTAATGTGTCTTGTAGGTTAAGCTTGCCCTGGACAACGTGTTGGCAGAGCAAGCGGAGTTTACAGACATCGGAGACAGTGCGATGCGTGTGGAGCAACTTCTTAAGGAATACAAAAAACTGGAAGGAAAAGGCCAGGTTTGTTTTTTTTGCCATTTTTGTGGACCAGGAAGAGGGTCACTGTGGATGGTGACAGATAATGGCCAGACATTATTGCTAGAAGGTTGCCAAAAGACACAGGAATGCCCAAATCCTGCCTTTTCAGTGACCTGACGCTCACCCCAGGTCTCCAGGGAGATATGCACATTAACAACTATGAGGAATGATGAGGGCAGTGAGAGTTCTGTTAAGGCCGCCAGAGCGCCCAGTTGAGGCTGGAGGCTTCGGTGGGGTGAGAGTTCCAGGTGGCCCTGCCCATTCATGAGGTGACAGACTAGTGGGGGAAAAACAGGAAGGAAGGTCACACTGGGTATGTTACCACTGGGCCAGAGGTTGGGGCAGGAGTTGGTGGTAAGGAGGGGAAACTTTTAAAGGGCAAACCAGAGAAAAATAACTAGTTTTATAATAGGCAAGATGGGGAAAAGGGGGAAATTGGTCCACATTAGTTCTGTTGCTACAGAGAGTTGGCAAAGCTTTCTCATGCTCACAGAGTTGGAAATATCAAACTTGTAAAGGAACTTGAAAGGAATATATGTTTCAGATTCTCATACCAGAGTTAAACAGTTTCCCAGATCTGAACACAAATCAGCACTTAGGAGTGAGTCTATCTTACGTCCTTACAAATTTGGCTTATTATGAATTTAAGAAAGCCCAGTCACCTTTCCAGGGAAGTTCCTTTCTGCTTTGCTTTAATTGGGTTCTCTATATTTTTGTCTCTTGGGAACTAAGTCTTCTATGGTTACCACTTCCTTTCTGATCTAAGCTAGAGGTGTCTTTCCTCTAGATTATGGTAGATGGTAATTTTGTAGTACTAGAAATTTGCTTCTCAACGTGTGATCCTCTGGCCAGAAGCTGTCACCTGAGTGAGAACTTATTAGAAATATGGGTAAATCTCAGGCCCCACCTCAGAATCAGAATCTGCATTTTAATAAGATCCCCAGGCATTTGACACACACATTAAAGTTAGGCTTTTGACACTCACATTATTGTTAGAGACATACTTCCCCAGAGAATAGTAACAAACGTAAACCAAGGCCACTCTGGCTTTAAGAGCTGTCAGTTGTGAATTCTGAGCTGGACGTGCTTTTGCACATGCGTGAACACATAGACCCACCTGTGCACCCAGACTCTCACTCAGCAATCCCATTCTTACCTGGTGAGCACTCCTCTTATTGATGATCGTTGACAACTAAATGCTTTAGTGCTCAAGGCATGAGAAATGTTTATTAAACAATGAAAAACATTGAACTTCATGTATCTGATAATTATATGTCTCAGAGGCTCCAAGATAGTCCCAGTTCTATGCAATTTTAGTTTTTTTTCAAGTGAACTCCTTATTAAATGTAGACGCTGTGTATTTTCATTTACATACATTCATATTTTAGGGAAAATGCCTCATCAAGCCCAGTACCTTTATTTTTGGTTTAAAAAATATGGTGTCATATACATATATCTCACCAAGGTAGCTACTGACCTACCAGGAAGGTATATCACCAAGGTAGCTACTGACCTACCAGGAAGGTACTCATTCATCACCAGGTATTCCTTGTCTTAGATTCTGTGGCTATAGTGGCAAACCAGACAGTCAAGACCCTGCTTTCATGGGGGTTACATTCTACTGGGGAGAGACAGACAAGTGAAAAGTAATCAAATAAATAATCATATCAGATAGTGACAAGTGGGATGAAGAAAGTAACAGGACATGATAGAAAGTGACTGGGGGGGTTGCTACTTTAGTAGTCAGGAAAGGCCTCTCAGACCTTTGATCTGAGATCTGTATAGCCATGCAAAGATTTAGGGAATAGCAGTCAAGGCAGAGGAGCTGCAAGTACAAAGGTCTTGAGGTGGGAACGAGGCTGGGGGCCCAAGGAATGTGGCTGGAACATAATGAGACAGGAGAACTCAGGTGGGAGCAATGGTGATGAGGACTGGATTTTATTCTCAGTGGAACTGGAAGCCATTGGATGGTGCTCTGGGTCGGGTTTTAAATACTGGGGGTGGATCTGCATGACTGCATTCACATCCTCTCTTCTGCCCACCTCCTTGGACTTGTGATCTTTGGTACATACTTCAAAAATCACTGACCAGAGGTAGGGGCAAAACCTATGGTCATGGGGCATCTTTCACGGGCAACATTCCTGAACAGCTGGGCTAACCTACAACCCGGAGCCCAGAAAGATTGGTTTTACCCATCCTGTGCCTTGCTTACCCTGTTTTTTACTTATTTGCTAAAGGATGCAGTAGACCTATCCCTCTGCCTTTGGGTGAACCAAATAAAGCTATCTTATCATAACTGGGACTTTTAAAACATGTCTTCACTCAGATTTGTAAGCGGCATTGTTTCTTCAAGTGATACGGGCTTGGCTAATCTTTCCATTTGTCCTGTAAAGTGTTAGAGGAAAAAGGTAATGTTTGGGTAGAAGCCACCGAAACCTGCTTGAGGTTTGTCCTTTGCTCAGCACCCAGGGGTCAGCTTCCCTTTCAGCAGAGCCACACACTGATTTCTGGATTGTTGCCAACCCCCTTACTCTGTGCAGTGGCATCATCCTCATGGTAGCCTCTGAGCCAACTCACTAACCAGAGTGGAGCCTGTTCTTTTACCCTCTTCTGGTTTGAGGGTTTAATCGTCTTTTTGTTTTTTTATACTCCAATAAAGATCTTAAAAAAAAAAGAGATACTAAGTGTTGTCTCTCCTTTTAGACCAGTGGTTCTTTTTTTTTTTTTAACATCTTTATTGGAGTATAATTGCTTTACAATGGTGTATTAGTTTCTGCTTTATAACAAAGTGAATCAGTTATACATATACATATGTTCCCATATCTCTTCCCTCTTGCGTCTCCCTCCCTCCCACCCTCCCTATCCCACCCCTCTAGGTGGTCACAAACCACCGAGCTGATCTCCCTGTGCCATGCGGCTGCTTCCCACTAGCTATCTATTTTACGTTTGGTAGTGTATATATGTCCGTGCCTCTCTCTCACTTTGTCCCAGCTTACCCTTCCCCCTCCCCATATCCTCAAGTCCATGCTCTAGTAGGTCTGTGTCTTTATTCCCATCTTACCCCTAGGATTAATCGTCTTTTGAGTGCTCATCTCTAATTCTAAGAAACAATGGTTCCAGTACCCCTCGTACTTCTTTAAAAGCAGAATTTGCTGTAGGGTTTTGGCTGTGAGGTATGTGGGACCTTTGCTGATGGGCCAACAAGGAGGAGACCAGGACAAAACAGGGAGACCCAATCGTTTCTCAGCCTTGACATCTCCCTCCAAGGCCAGGGGCCAGCAGTTACACTACTGTGTCCAGGAAGGCATGGAACCCAGATCATTAACCTCCTAGGGATGTAATCTAGCTGGAGGGGCATGACTTTTTTTTTTTTTTTGCGGTACGCAGGCTTCTCACTGCTGTGGCCTCTCCCGTTGCGGAGCACAGGCTCCGGACGCGCAGGCTCAGCGGCCATGGCTCATGGGCCCAGCCACTCCGCCGCATGTGGGATCTTCCCGGACCGGGGCACAAACCCGTGTCCCCTGCCTCAGCAGGCGGACTCCCAACCACTGCGCCACCAGGGAAGCCCATGACTTTTTTCTTTAATGGAAATTTTCAAGCACACAAAAAAGTAGATTGACGAGTACAAGGACCTCCCATGTGTCTACAGCTCAGTTTCAACAACCATTAACTTTCTGCCTTTCTTGTTTCACCTGACCCTCTTCCGCATGCATTCCATTCCTATGCCGTTATTTGTGGGTCTGTCCTGGGTTCCCTGATATAGCAGTATCGCCCCTTCTTCACCATTTTCTTCCAGAATAAACATGTCCAGCTTCATCTGTTATAGCAATAGAGTCCTGGGGGGAAAATAAGCTGTTATTACAATAAAGGTTTCTGAATTACATGTTGCAACTTGACCAGCCTTCTGAAATTTTCAGCATCTGAAAGATGCCAGGCAGGCTTATGATCAGAGTACCTGATTTCAGCCGTTTCTTTCTCATTATTTCTTTTTACTTTGGAGGTTTTGTTGCCTGATTATCTTGAGCAGAAGCTATATAGACTGAAAAATAAAACGCAATTTGGAGGTTTTACAGTAAAGTTCTTGGCAGGCAACTGAAGGATTTGATAGTCATGAATAATAATGACTTCATTAATAATCATGTGCAGCCATTATTCTAGCACATGTGGGGAAGCCATGTAGGCTGGAAGGTGGCAAGACACAGGCTTTGGAGTTAGAAGGAACTGGATTCAAATCTCGGCTCTAACAGCTACCAACTGTGTGACCCTAGTCAAGTTTCTCAGCCTTTCTGAACATACCCTCGCATCTGTAAAGTGGGTAATAATTCCTACCTCACAAGAGTCCCTGGGAAGATGAAATGAATAGATGATATATAGTAAGGACTTAGAGAGTGCTTGGAATGTAGTAGGTGGTCAGAGCTTAGAAGTTATTATTATTATCCATTCATTTCAGTAGAGTAATTTTCCAGCCATCCAGTGGTGAATTCTATATTGTATTTACGGATCCCTTCCCAAAATCCATTTGGACCTGTTATGGACATCTTTCCTCCAACATCTCAAGTGTTTTAAGAACAATTCTGAAGGGTGAGATGCTGCGTGCCACAGGGACGCAGCTGTGACTGCCACAGGTAACCTGGGGAGCATCCTGTGGTGAAGTTCCCTAGGCCCAGAAAACTTGTGCTATTCTTAATAAATTAGGCAGCTGGACTTAAAAAAAACAAGAGTCAACAGAGATATACTGGCCAAGTTTTCATGTTTCTGTATTTGACTAAAGTCAGACAGGTTCAATCAACCAAATGAGATCTCCAAGCTCAGGCAGGACAAGCACAGCCATTTTTCTCTGTGTGTGTTGGCCACAGCCAGATTCTGGAGCCAGACTGCTTGAGTTTGAAGCCTGGCTCTTCTCTTTCCTACCCGGGTCACCTTGGGCCATTGTGTCTCCACTCCTCTTTTGTAAAACAGCACATACATTAAAGGTTTGTTGTGAAGAGTAAAAGGAATCATTGATGTAAGCATTTTAAACAGTACCTGGCATATAGTAAGCTCTCAGTGAATGTTAGATGTTTTTGTTAATAGCAGAGGTGGTGGAGTAAATTCTGGGCTGCAGAATATTTCCTAGGTTCAACCTTCAGTGACTGAGCAGTTCTAGTAAGAGTGTCTCATTCATTCTTATACTCATTCTGCAAATATTTATTGATCTCCTTCCATACCACATACTGCTCTGAGTTCTGAGGACACAGCAGTGAGCAAAAAAGTCAAAAATCACTGCCCAAGGAATTAGAATTCTAACCTCCTTTGAGCGATGGTGACCAAGTGCATCTGGGCCTTTGCTGTTTAGAATAAGTGCACTGAGTATTTATCCCTGAGTTCTTTTAAATAGCCACTGCTTGATTCATGTCTCTTTATTCCCATATCATTATTACTCCTTTTTTTGTTTTGCACAACTATCATTTGTTCTTAAGTACCTAATATGTGCTGTGTACTATTTAAGTTGAATAAGAGCTGGTGCATGCCCACAAGGGTCTGTGGCATAGTGTGGGCAATAGATAACTGACCACAACACAGTCAAGTTCATGCTCTGATCAAGAAAGGCCTAGCGGGCTTCCCTGGTGGCGCAGTGGTTGAGAGTCTGCCTGCCGATGCAGGGGACGCGGGTTCGAGCCCCGGTCTGGGAGGATCCCACGTGCTGCGGAGCGGCTGGGCCCGTGGGCCATGGCCGCTGAACCTGCACGTCCGGAGCCTGTGCTCTGCAGCGGGAGAGGCCACAGCAGTGAGAGGCCCGCATACTACAAAAAAAAAAAAAAGAAAAAAAAGAAAGGCCTAGGGTGTTATGGGAGCACAGAGGAGGGGCATCAAAATAAAAAGGTGGAGTCAGAGGAAGTTTCCTGAAGAAGATGAACTCTGAAGGGTGATTTGGAGTTAGTTACAGAGTAGTGTGTGTACATGGTCGGGGGGGGAGTAGGGGAAAGGTAGGGGAAGAGGTAGGGGGAGGGATGATGAGGGAAGGATGGGGTTTTCTAGGTAGAGAGAGCAAATAGAGAAGGCATGGAGGCCTGAAGCTGCCTGAATATTTGGGGGACTACAAGGGAGTCATTAGTCCAGTTACAGCAGAGGATGGGGTGAGAGTGGAGGAGGAGGAGCCACAGGTATGAGCCAGAGAGTGAAAGGCCTTCTGTGCATTGGTCAGGAGTTTGAACTTCTTCCTGAAGACAGTAGGGAGCCAGGAAAGGATTTGAGGCTTGGGAGTGATGTAGACAGGAATAGACGTCGTGATGGAATTGCCATTTTGTCAGTAGTGTGGAGCGTGATTTGAAGGAGAGCCTGAAGGAAATCAAGGAGACCAGCTGTCCCAGTCAGAAAGCACCAAGGTCTGAGCACACAGTGACAAGGAGGTGGTAGGGAAGGGCTGAGTTCAACACGGATTAAGAAGGAGGTGTGCTCTGTGGGGCTTGGCAAATGATTGACTGGGTAGGGGGCAGGGGTTTTGAAATTGTTGAAGTCATACACCGCTGTAAATTAAGAGAGGGGCAGGTTGTCATCACCTGGAGTCACCATGTTTCCTAGTGTTACTATGAAAAGCTAAACCAGGGCAAATGTGGCACCCTGGATGCTCAACCTGGTCAGCAAGGGTGCGTGTGGGCCTTCTGTCCTGGAGGCCTTTGGGGACGTGGCAGTCATCTGTCTTGACTCAGGTCAGTGTTGTTCACACAGTTCCAGCCAAGCAGATCACTGCATCCCCTAGTTCATTGGTTCATTTATTCTTTTATCTTATTGACCAAATATTTATGGGATGCCTACTAAGTGGTCTCATGGAACTTATGTATTGGTGGACATGGGTGGAAGAGGGAGGAATCATACCTTAAAGTAGAGAAAGAAAATACTTTCAGGTAGAAGTAAGTGCTGTTATAAAATGAGAACAAAGTGAGGGAGAGGGCCTGGGAGGGGGTGAACTAAGAGCTTAGACCTGGGAGGAGCATCCCAGGGAAGGGTGCTGAGATAGGAGCTGGTTTGGTTGTCGGCCTTGTTGAAACCACACCTCTTACCTGGATTACTGCAGTAGCCCCCTAACTGGTCTCCTTGCTTTCCCTCTTCTCTAGCATTCTTGACACCACAGCTGAATCGATCCTTTCAAAGATATGAATGAGGTCCTGTCTTCGAAACCATCCAGTGCATCCCATGTCACAATGAATAAGAGACAAAGTGCCCGCAATGGCAGCAAGGCCCTCCCTGGTCAGATCCCCCTCTTTCCTCTCTGATCATGTCTCCTCCTTTCCTCCTTGCTTCCTCTGCTGCAGCCACAGTAGCTTCCTCCTGCTACCTGAACATGTCAAACATGCCCCCATCTCTCTCAGCCGAGTGCTGCATGGTTGTCCCTCATTTCACATCTTGGCTCCTGTGTCAAGGGTCCCCAAGACCACACCCAGATTTGAAGATTTGCTAGGAGAGCTCATAGGACTCAGCATATAATTATGCTTATGGTTATGGTTTATTACAGTGAAAGGATACCAAGGAAAATCAGCAAAGGGAAGAGGTGCATGGGGCAAAGTCTGGAGGAAACCAGGTGCAGGCTTCCAAGGGTCCTTTCCCATTGGAGTCCCACAGGATGCACTTAGTGCCGCCAACAATGGCTTGCACCGGCATTGTAAAATGTTGTCTGTCGGGGAAGCTCATTAGGGGTTAGTGCCCAGAGTTTTTGTTGGGGGCTAGTCATGTTGGTGGCCTCTGACTGGCGTATACCAGAATTCCAGAATCCCAGAAGAAAGCAGATCTTCAGCATAAAACATATTGTTTGCACAAACAGTTTAGATACCGTGAGCCATTCTGATTAAGGATGACAGGAACCCTCCTGACCTTCCCAGATGCCAGCCGAGGACCAACCTTGCAAGCAGGCCTTTCTAAGGACAGCAGTTTCAGGCTGCTGTGTTCTGCACAGTGCGGCCAGCACCTTCTCAGTGAGCCCTTCTCTCACTACCCTATTTAAAATAGCAGCTCCTCCACCAGTGCTCCCCGCCCTCCTCTCCCTGTTTGATTTTTCTCCATAGCTCTCACCACTGTCTAAGATATTATATTATCTACATATTTGTTTATTGCCTGTGTCTCCTACTAAAATGTAAGCTTCGTGAGGGCAGGGAATTTTGCTTGCTTTGTTTACCACCAAACCCCCAGCACCTGGACAGTGCTTGGTACACGGCAGGTCCTCAATGATACATGATGAATGAACTAAAAACAGGAAAAACTTGGTACCTATGGTTAGAACGAAACAAGCTGTGCAGAAAGAGGGAGGAGATACAGTTGCTAAGCAGACGATATCAGAGCAGACAGGGACCTTGTGGGCTGCAGGAAATGGTTTAGACAAACATAATTCTTAAGTCTCATGATCCCCCCCATAGGGTTGCCCAAACCAGATCTTTACTATTTTCTCAACCTCAGCTTTACTCCCCACTCTCCTCAGGGCCACATGTTTGTCCCTTTTCCTTTTCCATTCAGTTGACAAGATAATTCAGTCTCCAATTCTGTGCAGTATAATACTTCATGCTCTTCTGCCCTAGAATTTATCACAGTTGTAATAAGTTAATTATTTGTATAATTTGTTTAGTATCTGAGTTCTCCATTGAACTGAAAATTCCTGGCTTGTTAACACTATATCCTCAGTGCTTAACCCAGAACTCAACAAATATTTGAATGAATGACTTGCTCTTCTTCAGAGTGCAGATGACCCTGGACTAGGCTAGACCTCCTGGGGACCTTGAACCACCCCAGTGCTTTCCCAGGTTCCCCAGCCCCAGTCTCTGAGCCTAAAACCTGATCAGCCCCTCCGTAGCCTCCCTCCAAGTTTGGAGCACACAGTGCCAGGCAGATACCAGCCTCACCATGACTCGACTTCTGATGCTTGGCTGTGGATGTTCACTTTGCAGGAGTCCTTGGAAAAGGCCCAGCTGCTTGCAGTAATTGGGGACCAGCTCATCCAAAGCCACCACTATGCAGTGGACTCCATCAGACCCCAGTGTGCAGAGCTCAGGCACCTCTGTGATGACTTCATCAATGAAAACAAGAAAAAACATGACATTTTAGAAAAGTCCTTGGAGTTGCATAGACAGTTGGACAAGGTGAGCAAAACAAAGCTGCGAACATGATGTCTGCAAAATGTTCTGTGAAACATTCTGAATCATACTTGCCCTCCCTGCCCCTCACGATTCCTGAGATGAGAGGATAAAGTCCTTCATGTGAAAACAGCACTCAAGAGGCATTAAAAACTGTGCAGATTCTAAGTCATAGAGGTATTGAAGGTCAAAAATGCCCCAGCCATCCACCACATCCCATTCGAATAAACTATAAAGTCCGTGTCCTCTGTGTGGACCCAGACTTAAGGAGTGTGTTTTGGCCTGGCCCTGTGGGGCCTTTCATGATTCCCCATCAGGTGTAAAGAGAACCAAGCACTATAGTTGCAAAGTGCTTCTCCTCATGTAAAGGCATCAGATTGTGAATCCTTTTGAAGAAGGCTAAGTAATAACAACCATGATACACTCCTACCATTTACTGAGCACCTACTATGTTCCTACCAGGAGCATAATTATGTCATCTATTTAATCCTCAAGACAACCTATGAGGAGGATATTAATGGCCTCATTTAACAGAGACAGAAATTGGTATTCAGCATAGTTAAGTCAGTGGGTCACAACATTTAGTACATGAGGTGAGCTTGCTATAATTGCAGATTTCCTGATGTACCACTCGGGAGACTCTGATTTAGTAAGTGTGGGATGATGCCCAGGTATCAGTATTTTCCTCAAGTGCCCAGGTGATTTGGTGCAGCTAGTACATGAACAACACTGAAAAACCCTGGGGTAAAAGATTGCCCAAGACCACACATGGGGTAAATAGGGGAGCACAGGTTTGAAGTGAGGACTGACAAATTCCAAACCCCAGGCTCCTTAGACTAGACAGCAACACTGTATGCAGAGTGCTCACGGGGAGGGGGCACGGCCCCCGCTGCCCTTCAGCAGTGATCTCTGAGGCAAGTGCCAGTCAGCAGGGGCTGTGACTGCTGGAGCCTGCTCTGTCAGCTGCTCCCAGGCATCAGAGAGCTCACCGCTGTGAGTCAGCATGCTCCATTTCCACAATTGTTTCTCTCTGATAGCTGGGGACACCCGCCCAGGCTGTTTACATCATCCCACTGCCAAAGGGATTTTAGTGTCAAGGAAATATAGCTGTTCCAGAAGCAAGTGGCTCAGAAGGGCCTGCCAGAGATAATAGCCTAACGCCAGTCTGTGGACTGCGTGTGTGTGTGTGTGTGTGTGTGTGTGTGTGTGTGTGTGTGTGTGTG